CAAGGTGGAGTATGTTGAGGGACTGCAAGACAACTTAATAAGTGTTTAGCAGTTATTAGTGGGTACTGGTCTAAAGGTCTCGTTTGATGATGAAGGATCTGAAATTATCAAAAAGAAGACGAAATCAGTACTGCTTAAATCAAAACGGCAATGCGAGATGTATCCATTGGACATCAATACGATACAAGCGAAACCTTCTATTTGTCTGCTCACTAAGGCTACAACAAATGATAGTTGGCTATGGTATAGGAGACTTTCGCACCTCAACTTTAAAGACATCAACAAGCTAGTTCTTTGTGATCATGTGCAAGGTCTTCCTCTCTTGAAATATGACAAGGATCATCTTTATGCTGCAAGAGAATTGGGAAAGCAAAGCAAAAAAAGTCATCCTTCTAAAGTGAACACGAAATTCATTGAGCCACTTGAACTACTCCACATTGATCTTTGTGGCCCATCTGCAATCGAAAGTATTGGTGGTAACAAATATATTCTCGTTATTGTAGATGATTTTTCTCGTTTCACTTGGATGTTCTTTCTTAAACAGAAATCAGAAGCGACTTTTAGGCTCAAAGACTTCATCAAGCAAATTGAGTTGCGACTGCAAAACAGGATCGTTGAAAGATGAAACCGTTCGTTGTATGAAGCAACCAGGACCATGCTTTCGTTGTATGAAACCGTTCCAAGTGTTTTATTTTCAGTTCTAATGAAAAATGAAACAAGTTTGATGAGAAGGCTGACGAAGGCATTTTTCTAGGATATTCACTAACGTCGAAAGCATATAGGGTTCAAAACAAATGATCCAAAAGGATTGAAGAAACCTACTATGTCACATTCGATGATAATTATTTAAATAAGATTCAAGTGAATGATCGCCAGGAAAACAAGATCTTTCCTCAAACGAACCAAGTGATTGTTCCCTTGTCTAATCTTTATGAAGAATTCATGCTTCTATTTGACGAACCTTAGAAGGCCATCACATCTGAAGCAAAGACAACCGATAGCAAAGAAGATGAATTATAGAAGATAATTAATAAAGCCATGCATAACATGGATAATCAACCACCAACCACGAACGTGCCTCAAGACACAATCACTCTAGTCCAAGGGGAGAGTTTCGATTCAAATACACATCCTTAGGGGGAGAAACCGACTCTGCAAGAAACGAACGCTCCATCACAGGGTGCCGAAGATACTTTAATTCCTAATGAAGAAGATCACTCGTCATTTAAGGGGGAGAATAAAGATGCGAATGATGATTCAGATGTTCAATCAGAGTTTGAGGAAGTACACGATGAATTAGATCCTTATTAGGATCCAAACTATCCGCCACTAGTCAAATGGACCAGAGATCACCCTAAAACCCAAGTCATTGGTGAATCTTCTGCAGGCGTTCTCACGAGATCTCAAATAAAAGCGAAACGAACTGCTTTATTCTCCAAGGTGGAATTTTTCATGTTCAATTCGTTCGTGTCCAAGATAGAACCCAAAACCTTCAACACCGCTCTTGATCATTCTAATTGGGTACAAGCGATGCAAGCAAACTCAATGAGTTCGAACGAAACAAAGTTTGGAGATTAATTCCTATTCCACCTGAAGTATCAGCTGTTGGTTTGAAATAGGTGTTCGCAACAAGTTGGATAAAGAAGGAAATGTAATAAGAAAAAAGGCGAGACTTGTGGTTAAGGGTTACTTCCTGGAAGAGGGTATTGACTACGAAGAAAACTTCACACCTGTTGCAAGGTTGGAATCAGTTCAAATATTCTTAGCATATGCAGCTCATAAGAACTTTGAAGTGTTTCAGATGGATGTTAAATGTGCGTTCCTAAACGAGGAATTAGAAGAAATAGTATATGTTGAACAACAACCTAGGTTCATGAATGGGAAGTATCCAAAACATTGCTACATTCTGGATAACAAAAGTTTACAGACTGAAGCAAGTACTGAGAGCCTGGTATGAAACTCTTACTCGCTTTATTAAAATGTCTTAGTTAAACAAGGTTCAGTTGACCCAACCTTCTTTCATAAGAAAGAGGGTGACCACTTGATGATTGTTCAAATTTATGTTGATGACATCATCTTCGGATCTACTAATCCCAGCCTCACAGTTGAATTCCAAAAGTTGATGGAAGCTAAGTTTGAAATGAGCTTAATGGGCCATATTAACTTTTTCCTTGCATTGAATATTAAGCAGGGACCAGAAGGTATTTTCATTAATCAGGAAGCACATACAAACACTTTGCTCTCTAAGTTTGGCATGATGAGAGACTCTAAAGTGAAGGTTCCAATGACATTCGGAACAAAACTTACACCATCACTAAAAAAACCAGTTGCAGATATGACCCTTTATCGTCATATGATTGGTTCTTAATAGCTAGTAGACCGGACATTATGTTTTCCATTTGTTATTGTGCAAGGTTCCAAGCAAACCCTCACGAACCTCACATGATGGCAGTGAAAAATATTTTCAGATATCTAAAACAAACTTCATCTTTAGGAATATGGTATCCTGTGAACTCAGGCTTCTCCGTTCAAGCATTTTCGAATGTTGATCTTGGTGGGTGCAGCTTAGATAGAAGAAGCACAACTGGTGGATGCCAATTTCTTGATGGCAAATTAGTTAATGGACGATTCAAGAAGCAAACATGTGTTTCGTTGTCAACAGACGAAGCTGAGTACATCGCTGTTGCATCTTGTACATCTCAGCTCATATTGATTCAAAGTCAAATGTGAGATTATGGCCTAAATATGAAGCGAATACCACTCTACTATGACTCTAAAAGCGTAATTCACATCTTTCACAGCCCAATGCAACACTCCAAGACGAAACACATAACACTGAGTTACCACTTCATTAAGGATCATGTAGAAGATATCAACGTTGAGATTCATTTCGTTCAATATGTAGTCCAATTGGCTGACATATTCACGAAAGCCTTGCCAGAAGCATCATTTGATAGAATAATCCAAGGACTAGGAATGATGGAAGCTAAATCAGTTCCAAAACCACTTTCATAGTAGCAAGTTCACTTTTGAGTTACCTGTTCGCTTTTGGTTTTATTTTTGACAAGCGAAATAGACCGAACGCTCACTCTATTTCGTTTCCGATTTTTTCGTGACACACACTAAGACGAACGTTCGCCCCATTTCGTGCCATAATTTTTTTAAAGTGAACTCTCGTGGTCTATTCTCTTAGTATATTTTGTATATTACGCTCGTTTCGTTTTATCTACTTCTTTAAACCTTTTTCAAAATACAAAATTATTTTATTTTGTTTCGTTTTATTTCTCTTTCAGCAATTATGAAAATACAAAGATATTTTCTCTTTCATCCTACATTCGTTCTTATATTAAGTTCATTGTTTGTTTGGAGAGTTAGCTACCCAATGAGCCGAATTAAAAGATTCATTTCATTGTTTATTAACAAACAAATGAGCGTACTTCAATCGGAAACCACACAAACACTTCTTAGTCTCTCTTAACTTAGAAGGAAGAGATTCGTGCCCAGGATCTTCAGCTTCGTGTCTCTATAGACATCACTTAAATCCCACTAATATACTTCGCTTTATTTCTTTATCTTTGGCACACTCTCGCACAAAGATTTTTATGATTTTCAAAATGTATGGTTCGTGACACTTATGGCATTTTTCAGTTTCGCAGTCTCGCTCTTATATGCACTTCTGACGTTCGTTTCTCAAAAGCGAAAGGTGCTTATTCATTTCAAAGATGTCAAGGATTTTGAAACGTTGGGGATAAAGGTTGTTGATGCAGCATTTGAAGATAAGATTTTGAAATAAAAGGCGCATGGAATTTTAAACGGTTCCAATTCTCACGCCGCATGCGGTCATGATGAAAACCTGTTAGTCGTTACAGTTGTCAAATCATGCTTTTTCTAGACGCCCAATTAGGGGTCGTCACGTAATCGTCGATTGGTTTTCTCTCACTCACTATAAATACTTAAATCAATTGACGATTTAACCTGTGTCACTCTCAAAGAAATTTCAAACCCTAAACGGCGCTTTCTCTGTCAATTGTTCATCTACTTCTACAAGCTGCAACAATGGATGACTCTTGATCTGTTCAAGAACAAACTGCTCAGTCCTCTCTCCTTACTATCAAGCAGCATCAGAAGTTAATTATTGATTTGGTGTCGTTTAAATATGATGCCTTTCTATTTCCAATCGTAGAATGCTTGAAGTATTCACCTTTAGCCATCAATTTGACAAAGGTCGAATGTGTATCAATGTCGATGTTGTCTAAAGCTTACTCTACCGCCGCATATGTCAAGGAGGATGAAAGGATCACTTTTGAAGTGTTTGAAAAGAAAACTTCTCTCACGAAGGCCATGTTTTGCCCTATTTTAGGGCTTCCTCATGATCATACACCGATAAACCCAGATTCAGTCGCTACTGCACAATTTATCGATATGTTCTACCAGGTAGGGTACACATATCCCATTCCCTCAATCACCAAGTTTAAGAAATCCAACCTTCCTCCAATGTGGAATGGTATCCTCACCTTTCTCTTCAAGGCATTTTCTGAAAGGGTCACTGGGTCAGATTATACGAGTAAATCATTCATGACAATCCTCTATGGCCTCTACTATGGGATCCGTCTTGACTACGGTTCAGTATTATGGGCTCAACTGATACAAAACATGAAATCCACCACTCATCACTATGAAATCTCCATGGATCGCTTTTGGACTGTTGTGGTCCAGTGTGTAATTATGATGCTTAACATTCCTATCATGGCAGATTCATTGAAGTCTTCAATCGCTACCGTTCATACTACAAACATCATAATTGTTAACAATTTTAAGTTCACCTTTATAGCTTCTAAGTGTGTGTCGGGGGAAAGCGAGCTAATTGGAGAATACAAAATGCTTTCAATCTCAGGTCCTAGAATCCTCACTCCGGAGATGCAACCGACCCTTGATCAGGCTGATAAAATCAAGAAAGGGGGCAAACCAAAACAAAAAAAGAGGGTCCTTCTACCCTAACTATGCCTTCCAAAAATAGAAAGACAAAAGGTGATTCATCCAATCCTGCTCCCTCTTTCCTGAAGCAAAAGTGTGTGAAGAAACAAGTTCGTATGATTCATGTTCCCTCCTCAACCTCGTCTGACAGTGAATTGGAAGATGCACATTGAGATGACTCTGACGATGATGTCAACAGAAATGAACAAGAGGTAAATTTTGTCCCATTTCCTCCACCATCACCTGCTTCCACGTCTATTCCGATTACAATAGTACCTTGTCCACCACCTATCACTACTCAATCACCACCTGTGACTACTGCACCACCTACTTCTATTCCTCGGCAAACACCCATTTTCACTGAAACCACTACAACCACCACCACAGCCAAACCTCCTGTCAGTGTCAATGCATCTGATGCGGGGGAAAAGACTTCATGGTTTGCAACTACTACCACTACATCTCCTATTTCTCCTCAACATCACCATGGTTCGGAGGACTTTCTTGGGGCTAAGGGACTTGACTTTGATACCTTTCACTATAGTCCTTTCTCAATCCAAGAAGACAGTGATGATGATGCCCCTCTCGCTCAGAAGGATCTCAAAGCTCTGAACGTGAAGCTGGATACTCTCATTGTTTCATCCACTGCCTCTTCAAGCCATGCGTATTCCGAAGAAGCAATCAAAACTTTTCTCAACACACTTGTGAAAGAGCAAACTGCAAATCTAGACAAAGTCAATAAAGCGTTTGAAAACTTCACTTGTTTTTTTCTGCAAGCGACCAAAAAAGTCGATAAACTAATCTATAAAATGAAAACATTTATGATAGAGATCAATACAACAGTTGAGTCGAATGCTTCAAAAGCATACGATGCGATTGTACTCTTAAATGCTTCGCTTCACAAAGAAAGGGAGACTCTGGAGAAGCTTCGTACCGATATTTGTACCGACAACTTTGAATTTCAAACTTCTATTTCTTGAAGACTTTCCAAGTTCCAAGAAGACTTAGTTGTTAAAATCAAGATAATGGACGAACTTGCTCTACGCACCACTCAACTAAAATGTTAGACTATTAAGCTTAAACACACGAATAATGAAATAGAGGAGCTCAAATCTGAAATAGCTATTTTGAAAAGCTACATGGGCGCACTACTAGAAAAAAAGCCTTTTACAACGCTCATTGCACGTCGTAAAAGGCTCAGACGATGCACAAATGCGTGTCAAGGAAGGCCCTATCATAAAGAGAGACGACGCGCATTTACGACGCTCATTTACGACGCGCAATTACGACGCGCGTTTACGACACGCAATGCGTATCAAGGAAGGCCCTGTCATAAAGGAAGATGACACGCATTCGCGGGTCGTAACCTTACGACGCGCGTGTTAATGACACACAATGCGTATCAAGAAAGCCCCTGTCAAGAAAGGCCATGTCATAAATTAAGATGACACACATTTTTGCGTATCGTAAATTTAAATGTTTTAAAAAAATAAATTTATATATTTATTAATTTTTAAATTAAATTTGCATTTAATTTCTCATAATAGAAATAAAATACCATATACAAAAAATACAATCCATTGCATAATATAAAATAAAATTTCATACTCAAAAAATAAAATAAATTGCACAAATTGTAATGTCATACAAAGAATCATTCAAATGTTAAACAAAAATAATACATTGCTAACATGGGTTATACATTCCTATAAAACTAACAAATAATCATACAACTCTGTTTCTTACTGGAAAGGAATGTCAAACATGATTACAAGTCTCCCTTAATCTTGATTACTCACCTGCTTAAGTAGAATGTTGTTGTTGAGAAGGTTACCTAGCAACAGAGAAAAACACAACACCTCTCCCACAATCACAACATCATTTACAGAGAAAGGGTTGTCAATTACTTTCATTAAGACTTTCATTCAATCACAAGAATATTAAATAAAAGGGTGAAACAGTAACTTACTTTTGATAAGTTGATCTCCCTTAGAGCAAACACAGCTAAAGCATTGAACAAGACCCTATTTCCCTTTTCTTTTAAAGTTTCCAGAATGTTTAGAATGCTCTCCTTACCCTGTTATTTCAAGTGTCAGGGGAAAAAAAGTCCTCACTTTTGGTTCCCTATCAGATGTAGCATCAAGAACAGAGAACATGATCTCACCAAACATAATCAATAATCAGATTGAATTATATATTATGAGTAAGTAATAAAGTACATGTAACACAATAAAGTATTATTAAGGAACTTATGATTTCAAATATTATTTTTTACACTCAGATGCCAAAATATTTTATGTTATTCTTCTACAAGTTGAGAACCAACTCAAACATGAAAGATAATAGTCCATCTGGCAGCTTTTGATGACATGGCAAATGAAATTTCTCAAAGATAGAATAATACCTGTACTATTAAAATGATGGCAACCATAACAAGTGGTCCAATAACTACAGCCAAAAACATGCCTTTAATCATGTCTGGAAAGAAAAGAAAGATTGTTTGCTGCAATCATAAATCCCATGTGTTACAAACTTATATCCAAATTTAAATTAAATAAAAAGAGAAAACTGTAAAAACAAATTATATCCAAGATAATACACCATACAACAAAATAGAAGAGTCCATCAGTATTGTTACAAACCCATGAAGGAAGTGGAAGTTACTGGAAAAAAAAACATATGATTTGAGGCCTGTTCTCCATTCTTCCTAATAAGATAAATTGAGAAGCTTTTTTCAAAAAAAGACCATTTTCTTAATTATTAGAACACATTAGGAAAGCTTTATACTCTTTGATTTAAGAAGCTAAGTAAACTATAATAAATCCACAACAAAAAGAAACTATAAGAAATCCACAACAAAAAGATTTGAAACTTACCTGTCCAATAAGAAGAGGGGTATCAGCAACAAGCTTGAAAGCAACAGGCCTTGGAGTATGCATAGGCCAAGCCTGCAAATAAAAATTGCATCAAGTATAAAAGAGAACAGGGAAACTGATATTAAAAACAAGAATTTTGATCATTAGAAAAAAAGAGAGAGAAAAATAGAGAGGGAAGAAATGGAATGGAATGACTCATTCCATTCCATTCCATTCTATATTCCAACCTTTACCTTGTTTTCTTATCATTATCAGTTGTATCTGCACCTCTTTCATTTCCTGCAAGATTTAAAAATGAAGAATGGCATGTGATCGTGAAGATTCCTCATTTGCATCTATTGTCCTTGTGATTGTAAATTAGTAAAAGAATAATATAAAAAACTGAAGTAGAGAAGTGACTTTTGTACTTGATAATATATTCCTCATTTAGGCAAAACGGCTTGAAGAACGCGACATGCAGCAGCTTGCAACATAGGTTCCCTGTCGCTTTCAAATATGGTTTCCAACAACTGCTTTCATTTTAGTTTGTTCAGCTTTGTTTTTACTTCCTCCATATTAGAAGATCAATTTGGCTTACAAAACGCGTATAATATGGAGGAAAGGTTAAGTCCATCTGCAACAACCTATTCTTCAATAAGAGTAACTTGACCAATGCAACGTTTTTTCCAAGATCCTGAAACCCAAGAACTGCTACCAAGCACACGTGCCTCCATGTCCAGTAATGCATCCATTTTCTCCTTCCAACCAAATTCATCCTTTACTCTACCATAAATTTCTAAAGTGTCTATTCTTGGTAAAGTTGATCTGTTGAAAGTTGTTCCTATGGAGATTGTAATTTCTTCATCAGCTAGAAGGGATTCTGCAACTGTAAATGGGATGTCATACCATGACCTCATGCCTTCGTCTAGTTTTATAACTCTTTGGAAAATTGTTATATCAGAGGGTATATGGTTTGCTAATGTGTTCCAAACATGGACACAAAATCCAACCATTACTATGTTTGGATTCGAATTGGAAACTGTTACCTGGAATGGGAAAACACAAGGTATCAATCATGAATCAATACAAATAATTTAGGGGATATTTCTTTTTTCTTTTATTTTCCCATCAAGTCTTGTATGGTAAAGTGCTTGAATTGTTAGCAACTATAAAACAGCCCCTAAGACCAAATGACCATTTTACCCTTACATCCCAACAAAAAAATTTCATAATCATCATCAATTTTAACATGAGAGAAGTTGGTGGAAAAATATTAAGGGCAAGTAGGGGAAGGGTTGGTGTTTTGATACACTTAGCTGTCCAGATTAAGTGGTTAACCAAGAAAGCCTATCAATTTCAAACAAAAAAAGTAAAACATAAATAACATTGTAACAAAGCATACCTTGAACCCTGTAGGCGTAGGACTTTCAAGAAATCCTTCTTCTGTGGACCAAATCCAGGTCAAGGAATTTCTTCTGTATATCTGGATTGAAATTAGGGCATGTGTCTCCAGAAAAAAGATCGACAAAGAAAGTAAGGACCTTCACATTAACCGATTCAGAGTTGAAATTATCCAATGCATCGAAAAAGACCAAAATATCCCCACACTGAGAGCCAAATCTGTCATCAAGTTCTTTTGAAAGATCTCCATCAGACATGAAAAACTTTAGCAATTGTGCCCTTGAAGGATCCTTTATGATGCTGTCTATGATATCAACAGCTTTGGAGACTCCACATTCGTTAACAGAGCAATCAACACTTTCTCTTCTCTATCTTTCTGCTCGTTTTTTCTTTTCTTTCCCATTTTCTGTTCAGTCTTGTCGCGCACACACAAACACCATCTAGGAAGTAGGACGACGTGAACGATGGTGGAGATGATAGCCGGCGGTGGCTGGTTTAGGGCTTTTAGAGAATATGAGATATTTTTGTTCAGAGAGAGAAAGTGGAATCAATGAGAATGTAAGCTTCGGTTACTTTATAGCAGAGATGGCATCATTCTTGAAGGTGGTTACAATCAGCATTGATTTTGGGTGGATGGTAGGTGAAGTGGGGATGTCGATCGACGTTTCAGAGTAAAATCAGAGATTGGAGAGCCCAAGAGGAGAGAATGAGAGCCCAAGAGTAAAATCACAAAAGTATGGAGTGTGACTGAGTTTTTAGGGTTCAATGGTAATGACGATGGCTTAGGGTTTGCAGATGGTGGTGTGGGGGTCGTCGGTTGCTTTACAGAGAGATATGAAGTCGAGACGAAAGGACGAGATGGACCCATCTGGTAATAAACGGATACGGGAAGCTGAACAAAATGACCTGAGATTGACCCATCTAGTAACAACGCTATTGATGCCATTCCTTCCATTTTCGACTGTTCATCCTCCACTTCCTCTACTGCTACTTCTTCACCATCTTCTATTTTTTCTGTATTTAGACTTGAGAGTATAATTAGGGCTTTTTCTAACAATTTCAACATCGAGTGGGAGATATGGTGGTTCTAGTAGGTAGAAGTGAGGGAAGAAGTAGGCAGCAGTCAATGTCGGGAGGGGGAAGGAAGGAGCGTCCATAATTTGGGCAAGAGGGAAAAGAGAAAAAAAAAGGAATTAAGGCGGGGTTTTTAATTTTTTCAGAATTTCATTTCCCCCTACTATTAAAGGATGGAACGCGCGTTCCATTAAAAATTATAAAGCGACATCCTTAGACGATGCGCATTTTATTATAGGTGCCCTCCGTTTTTTTAGACACTGATTTAACGGCGCGCAATAATGTGTGTCTTCTATCCTTCAATTTTTTGAAGAGATGACATTTTTCTAATGTCACTCTCCTTTGCGTAACATAGATCAATGAGCGTCGTAAAAGGCCTTTTTTCTAGTAGTGGCGACGTGAATTCGTTGCTATCCAATCTTATTGAAGAATATGATCCTATTATGACCATCACAATTCACAGACATTTGGCTGACAAGCTTCGCTCAGCTCTCGCTCTACTTTATCGCCTTAAAGGTGTTCCTGAGGCCCATGTTCCTGTGACACAAGGGGGAGAAGATAAACATGCTAAGGAAGGGGAGAAACCAAATAAAAATGAAGCGGAGGTTAATGTAGCTTCGGGTTCTAAAAGAAAGAAACCAATGGGGAAT